CCATAATTTTAAGTGGTCAGATCCGAAAATATTACACAAAGAACCTCACTGGAAAATGAGAGAGATCGCTGAAATGTTCTTTATAAAGAAATATAAGAACACGATTAATTTAAAAAAAGATACCGAGAACTTAAACTCGATATACGACAGTGTCATCATGTCTGTTTAAGTGTTTATATTTCTACCTCGGGACACCTTGTTTCTTTCTTTGTCCGCTCAGTCTCCCAAGCACTCGCATACATGTAACATGTCGCAACGAAGAATCAGTCAGACGCGAAAATTTATTACGAAATTCGTAAGTTTTTCTTGATCGTCGCTTTCTCTCCTCATATATCATTGTTGCTACAAATTAAGATTGGTCCGCAGCTGACCTTTATGGCCATGCGGGAACATGCTCGTGAACTCAGGAATCTGTATTAATTATGTGACGAGTCAATAGATGATCTAGAATCTAGGTATTGCTCACTATTTAACGTCTTTAATTTAATATTTATCTCGATTCATTTATATTGTTTGTTTTTTTTTCTCGCTGTTCCTGTTTCAGTTCGCACTTGAAAAGGGCTCGAATCTTGAGCCGAAACGTTGTGCATTTTTGTATATATTGCGCCAGTTAATCGAGAAATAAATTGATTTTGCTGATTTTATTCACTGGCGGACGAAATTATTACCGATATTTTCATAGTTTTATTTGCAAGTTGGTGTAATTCCTGTGTAATTTACTAAGCTTTAAAGAAAATATTGGTTTTTTCGCTTTCAGATAAGTCAGCTCGTTTCTACATGCACTGCACGCCGACAACCGTTTACACTACCGACATTGTGCCATAAAGTTATACGCCAACACGACAAAAATTAAAAAAATTGAAAAATTGACAAATATATATATATATATATATTTTTTTTTTCTTTAAGAATACCTCTTTACATTACAAAAAAAATCAATTTAATATTAGGGTAGACTGGGGCACGTTGTCACACATTTTTTTCAATATTTTTTGTATTTTTTACATTCAATATTTAAGAGTACTTTGATATGCCAAAATTTCGAGTGAACCCTCAGCTTCAATTGGACAGTATCGAATTTTGTGTGATTGTTACTCTACAGTTGTTACATAACAATAAATAACGACAGGTCGCTTGTGACAACGTGCCCCGTGACCGGGGCACGTTGTCACATCAAATTTAATTGCATGCAAAATGTAATCCAAACTGTATACAACGTAAATATCAATATATTATAGTGCGCTGCAATGTAAAAAAGTAAAATCCTTCACAGAAACATTTATTTTATTTCAAAAAAGTACAAAAAGCACGAAGTTTTCGTCTTAATCTAAATAGGCAAGAATTCCACTCGAATGCGCAACTTATTGATAAACATTTTTTTTTTTATAATCATGTCGGTGATTAAACATAAAATATTTTTATTCGTTATCGTCATCCGAAGATTCGCAATAGATTCCCATCAAATTCGTGACAACGTGCCCCGAGGGCATTTTTTTACTTCAAACAGCCTCATGTCCGACACGTTTGAGATATTCGTAAGGTTAGGTACTGCACGCGGTAGGTAAAAGTACATACTTTAAGATAATATAAAGGTCTATTCTGAAAAAACATAAGCTTCATGTCCAGTACGTTGAATATTAGCACTAAAATTTTACTTACGGTCGCAAAAAACTTTCAAGTTGATTTTACGTCAACACGGCTGGCGCAATCTCAAGACTGTAAACACACCAAAGATGGGCATACACTACACTGGGTGCTGCCCTCCGGTTATTAGTTTTTTAAATAAAGCCAAAGTGACAACGTGCCCCGCGTGACAACGTCCCCCGGTCTACCCTACTTATAGTTTTCTAAGAAAAAATTCCCAAAAAATCATTTTTTGATCACTCACACTGGGTTCCCCCCTTAGAGATGTTATTTACTTAGGTTTCCATTTTTTATCGTAGAAATGATAAAGGTAATTAATATTAAAAATTCCTACACAACAGGTTTTGAAGGATAATGGAGATATCAATTGCAGATATTAATTGGCCTAGTTTACACCGATCTCTTGATACGTGTATCAAATAGTTTATTTGAGTTGATCAACCAATAATTAAACTAATTTACTAGTTATTTACTACTATTTAAAACGCGTATCAAATGATCGGTGTAAACTAGATCATTGAAATGTGTGCATTATGTACAAGCACATTTAAATTTTTATCCAATAGGATTAAGTAAATTAAATTCTTCGAAAAGAAAAGTTGATTCTACCGTTCTCTCGCTTAGTGTATAATTCTTTAATAAAAAGTTGATACAAATTTATGTTTGTAATAATATCTATAATATATATTCGCTATTTACAAATAAAACTTAATATCAAAATATTTTTTCTGTGTGATTTACTTATCAAAATATACATTACATATATATTTGTGAAGAAAATTGAAGAAGATTAAAGGAAACATTTTTAGTCGTATATGACAAAAATCCTTAAGTATTACGATAGCGATTTACATACATGCTTGTCACAGCCCACGTATATTCTACGAAAATAATATAAAACTAGATAATATAAAACTACACAAAGAATCATCAGTTGCGTTCCCTGAAATATATATACTAACAATCAGTAACGTGTGCAGTGACAAAATTTGAGATTTTTACTGTCTATATAAATATAAATTTCTTTTTAGTTTTTAAACTATTTCAAATAGTAAGTAAAAGTAATACATACATTCACATAAATTTTGAAAAATTTTTAAAAGCTGTTTTTCTCTATTCTCCCTATATTTCTTAATAAAATTGAACAAACTTTATTAGGTTGCAAACTTTTTAATGGAATAATAAAGACAGATAATGAAAAGTATTATACGTGTTGCAAAATTAGGTTTTCTTAATTTCATCAAAAACTTATTTATAAATTTTTTATTCTTCTAATAAGTTTGTTCTTTATATTGAGTTATACTGCACTTTCTAGCTCTTTTACTATATTAACTAACAATTATGAAATCATTTTGCACGGTTATCAAGGTTGTTTATAGTTCTATAGTCTGATCATTGACTTTTAGCCTCTAAAAGAAAATAAGTAACACTTCTGCGTTAGAATAATCAATGTCTAGAATAATAATAGCGACGCAAGTAACCATAACAGTAATAGAACTTGAACTCATTGTCTGTCTGAGAATAATTGATTATTTTGTTATGATAGATTACACAAGTCTGCGTGATTTTGCGTTCTGGAGAAGAACGGTGGTTTTGCTTCCTCATAGAGGAAGCTTTGTGATAGTGAAAAAAAATTTTTTCGAGATTTTGATGGAAATAGGTTTAGAATGTTTCAAAATGTCGAGAAATCACATTAGTAGAAAATGTCCGGAAGTATGTATGCGTGCGTGCATGCGTGCGGATTTTTGTACATGCATCTACTTTTACAATTTTTTAGATATCGGGCTGAAATTTTGCACACAAATATAGTATCATAGTAGAAAGTATGTTGTTCTCCAATTTTCTTAAAATCCATCAAATGGTATAGATTTTAGGGGGGGGTTTTCATTTTTCAGAAAAATGTGTTTTACGCTGTAACTTTTTCAATATTTGAGATATCGGTCTATTTTTAATTCTATTACATTTTTCAGTCTTTTCTACCCTTATTTTATATATAATTTTTTTAGATTTGGTTAATCAGTTCTTGAGTTACAGACGTTTGAAATTTCGGAGAATCCGTACATACATAGAAGTCTTACAAAGTTTAGTCTAATCAACTAAATTTTAAAGAATTATATATGAAATAGGAGTAGAAAAGACTGAAAAATATAATAGAATTAAAAATAGACCGGTATCTCAAATATTGAGAAAATTCAGACAATTAAGCCAATTAAGGATTATTTTCTAATTTTATTAATAAAAGCAATTTTTATATACTTAAAAAATTATTTTAAAGTAGAAAAAAACTATTGTAATAGTATAACAAATATTAGTCGCAATAAAAATTATCACAATAAAGAAAGTGTGCAAGTAGAAACTTGCACATTGCTTCCTTATAATTTTTAAGTGTACAAATTATAAATTTGAACATTACCTTCTCACAATTTTCAAGTATGCAAATTATAAATTTGCACGTTGCTCAATCAACATTTTATTTCGCTCATAAAGCTTCCTCTATGAGGAAGCCAAATTAATAAATATCTACTAATAATTATACATAAAAAAAAGACTTCCTCATGAGAGGAAGCTTTATGAGCGAAATAAAATGTTGATTAAGCAACGTGCAAATTTATAATTTGCATACTTAAAAATTGTGAGAAAGTAATGTTCAAATTTATAATTTGTACACTTAAAAATTATAAGGAAGCAATGTGCAAGTTTCTACTTGCACACTTAAAAACTATGAGGAAGCAATGTACAAGTTTTTATAGTTTTTCTGAATCCGAATCCGCAAGCAAAAGTGTCCTATCACGTCAGGTTTGCGAGAAAAATGGAATTAAAGCCTTCCAAAAACGCGTTTTTGATCATTTTTGAAGATTCGTAGCTGACAAATCCGATGTGCGGAAGACTTTTAAAGTGTCTTAAATTAAAGCTTAAACATTGTACTTTAATATGAGAATATCAAATCTTTTAGGCACAATCAAACCTTAGACGCTTTGTTTTTAAAGATTGGTGTACGCTTTATTCCAGACTTCTGCAAAACCATTGTAAATTGTAAAATTTTCAATAGAATTTAATACGTGGAAATAAAACATCATACCTACTAGCTGCGTAACAAATTATTTATTTTATTTGTGTAGACAATGATTGTTTTTGTTGGAAAATATGAAAGAAATGTCGTACGCTCATAGATTCTTTCGTGCAGTTATATAGGCAAAAAATCGATTAAATCTCTGAAAAATCCTCATCATAGATGCCAGAATGAGAAACTGCGCTCACCCAAAAGTCGGGTGATGGGGATACGCTCATCAAAAGAAGGCACGTACATACGCGCGGTGCGCTCGGAGTACCCTTATGAAAAAGTACACTCAACTTTGATGGTTAACACCCAAATTTGAGTGTTAACACTAAACTTGCGCCCAAATTTGAGAGTTAACACTGTAATTTTTGTTGTGATTTGGATTGCCTGGAAATCGGTATTACCTCTTGACGATATATGATGTGGTTGTAAATGACAAC